TGGCAAAGGAAAGGTCAAGAAATGTCGCGTCAGTCCAGATGCCTTCATTCAGATGGCTCTTCAGATAGCCTACTACAGGGTGAGCCTCCCTCTGAAGTACCAGCGGTGAGTGTGTGTGTGTTTGTGTGTGTGTGTGTCGGACACTGAATTTGTGACTGTCAATATTATCTGATGCATGTGGTTTTGTTTTTGTGTTCCAGGATCAGGGGAGATTCTGTTTGACGTACGAAGCCTCTATGACCCGTCTGTTCAAGGAGGGCAGAACCGAGACAGTTCGCTCCTGTACCAGTGAGAGCAGTGCTATGGTCCGAGCCCTGGATGGTGGAGAGGTGTGACCATTTAACTGTCTTGTTTGTCATCATTATTGTACATAGCAGTAACTCAAAAGAAGATGAAGGTTCTCTAATGAAAATGAATATGCTTTGCAAATCTTTATGTGAAATTGCTAACTTCGTTGCATAAATCATACAGTGTCATTTTTAGTGTGCGATATGTCACTCATGCCATTCTCCACCAGGCAGCAGATGTGTGCAGGCGTTTGTTCCACGAAGCTGCAGAAAAGCACCAGCATCTATACCGCATGGCTATGACTGGAGCTGGCATCGACAGACACCTCTTCTGCCTCTATGTGGTGTCCAAATACCTTGGAGTGGAGTCTCCTTTCTTGCAAGAGGTTCATTTCTTTCCTTCCTCATTTTTATATTTATATCAGACTGTCCAGCTCAGCATGAATATTTGTCTTAAGTAGAACTAATACAGCAGGGACTTGATGCGATGGCTTCTTGTGGGTATTGCAGGTGCTGTCCGAGCCCTGGCGGCTGTCCACCAGTCAGTCTCCAATACACGTGGAGATGTTTGATTTAGTCAACTACCCAGATTACGTGTCCTGTGGAGGGGGCTTTGGACCGGTAAGTGTTGCCCTCAGAGCTTCAGTCAATTAACTGTTAAAAGGATGACTCAGTCTGCACTCTTTTCCAGGTTGCAGGTGTAAAAACAGTGATGTAGGTTGGAGCACTGAGAGGGATAGCTATGGAAGCTAAGCAATGTACTGCTGCGGACGGGGGCAGCAGTAAAACTAAAAAAAAAAATCACAATTAAAAAACAATATGAATTTTAGTGTACTCTATATTAAGAATATTTTCACTGCTTCACCTTGCCGTCAAACGACCCTTTCTGTTGCTACATATCCTTCAGTCTCGTGTAGCTAGCCCCAGTGCGGTGTCAGTGCAAGATAAATACTTCTTGCACATACCACTCAGACTCTTCTTCTGTGAAAGTAGCTCTGTGTTCTGATTTTCATTAAGCAGTCATGATAATAAATATTGTCTACGTCTCTTTCAGGTGGCTGACGATGGTTATGGGGTGTCCTACTCCATTGTGGGAGAAGACATATTAAACTTCCACATCTCGTGCAAGCGCTCATGTCCAGACACTGTGAGTTCAATGAAAGTTGTCGGGATGTTTTTTTGTTTGTTTGCTTTTTTTGAAATCCCAATTTTCATCATCATATCAAAATTTCCTTTCTATCATACATGATCGTGTACGTTGGTGCTCCAGCAGCATACGTCCAGCAGCATAAGCAGTCACTCACTCGCCTCTAGCTGCATTCAGAGATGAATCCTAGTGCGGGGGTGGACTTAACCATTTTGTGCCTTTTGTGAGGGGTGACAGGAACCTCAGAGAGCCTCCACTATTTTTTTTTCTTAAACAAAGCTCTGTCTGTCAAATGATTTATTCATATGATATGTAATAAAAGAAAATCAGGTGTGTTATGAGACAGGCATTATTGTGCCAGGACTCAGTTCCGATTTTTATGCAGTGCATTACATCTCTTGCTTGGATTTAGAAAGAGTAGACATGATAGTAGACATGATATTTGCATTTCCGAGGCAGATGCTGGCATCAGTAAGTGAGCATTAAAAAAATCTACGATAATAGCACATTTTTGTTTTGAGCACAGATTTCTTTTTACCCTGAGGTTGTGAAGGTATTTGGGTTTAAAGTTTATCTCTGTTATTATAGAGATTTATGAGAGCAGATGAAGTGTAAAACATAAAACCGTTTTGGATTAAGTTTCATAAAATGTTAAGTCTTTTTCAATCTCCTAGACACATTCTTTTTATCTTTACTTTTTATTCTACGTCTCCCTTCCAGGATGCCCACAGGTTCAGTGCTGCGATCAGAAAAGCTCTGCATGACCTGATACAGCTGCTGATGCCCAACCAAACAGAGCCCAGCAGGAGACAGGAGAAGCGGCCGGAGGTCAAGAAAAACCTGTAGGCGGTTACTCAGGAGAAAAGGATGCTGAAGGGAAGGTGTGCGAACAGAAATGTTCCACTGTGAAGTGAGAAAAAGACAAAGGTTTTTTTCCTCGTGCATTGGGAGAATTTTATAGCCAGCCAGATGATATTCAAGGGACAGCTTCAAAAGGAAACTGATAAAATGGTGGTGATGTCTTTACAGATATGCATCTGTATCTGTGTGTGTGTATAAGCTGTGTTTTAAGTGTGTGAGAAGAAAAAGGGTCCATAGAATAACAAATCAAGAAGTAAGGTTTATTTGTTCAGTTTTGTCAAACACTGGGGAAAAAAATGTTATTATTGTGACATGTTTTGATTATTTTAAAAAGGCCAATATGAATTGCACCACTGAAAGTTAGGATAGAGACTCCTAACACTTCACATATTCAAGTGCAGTATGTTTTGACACTATTAAGCGTGCCACACTTTTTGTGCCACTAATCATCTGTTGAATTTGTTGGGAAAGCGTATTTGGAAGAGGCTGATGCATATTGAGTTCCAGAGCACTGGCACAAGAGAGAAAACGTGCAGGGCTGTTGAGGTGATTTCAGTTTCTAGCATCTGAATGCAACATTGCTGTAACAGTGATACTGCGCATTTCAAAATCTCGGAAGTCTGCGACTTCTCAGTGTTTACTCATCCTGTGTAAATCTGCTTTCTACAAAAACACATGATTGTAATGCTGTGCTGAGAGCGCCAGGCTGTTTATACATGTAGTGAAATGACATGGCTCTGTTATATTTATATGGTGCCAGCTCACCCGGGATATAACTTAAATTTTATGTTTGATAACATAACAATAACAATGTAACGTCGGTCAGTTTTTCTCTCAGCGGTCACTTGCATTTCAATTTTACCAAGTCAAAAAGTGTACTGTAATGAACTCCAGTTATTTCACTGCCATCTATAAATCTGTTTGGTGTTTATTTTTATCACTGTATTATTGAAACAGCACCATAACAATGCAAGCTATATTATAAACATCATGTGCAGGTAGTTAGGCTTGAGCAGCGCTGCAGGTCAGATGTGGATTACATGTGGAGTTAAGCCATCTGATTCAAAGGACGCTGTGTACAAGTGACGCAGATTCCTGTTTATTTTCATTGATTATTGCCTCTTTTTTTGTTTTCAGTTGAGCTTGTCTCGTTGTATTACTATTGTCAGCTTTTTTAATGCGATATAACGGGGGAACATAAAGTCATTCTTAAAGAAAAATAGCCAGAGGTGTTTGTTTTTGTTGCATTAACAGAGTACTCCACTGATTTAACATTGCACTCCCATGTTATTGTCAGAGTCATGATGGATGGTCAAAAAAATCCAAATCAGTGCAGCAGAATCAGCAATATCATTTTTTTTAATTCAATACATTCCTTTTCCTCATCAAAACCAGGATCCTACATTACCCAAAATGCCTCTCTACAGTGGACATCACCTGAGTTTACCAGATTTTTTGCAGCTCCCTCTAGAGCCCCAAAATGGTGTTGGAGTTTCTTTTTCAGATGATGCGTACAAGCTTGGATTTGTCTAAAGGGAAAAAGTTTATGAATCTATTTTATATTTTTCTCTGCAAATGGACACAACAAGCCTACTGTTAATTAATTAATTATGAGAAATAAGAGTGAAAGACAGCATGGAACAAAGAAATAACCTCATCAATACATAAATAACATCTGTGCACAATGTCAAATACCATGTGACTGCAGGAATAAAAGCTGTAGGAGTAAGGGGATGTGTGCTGCCTTTAAAGGAACTGTATACGATATTCAGAGCATATCTGATTCAGAGTCTAAGTCAGAATGTATGCGCATGGTTCACAACATGGAGGTGGCTGAGCTGGCGGCTAACAGCTAACGGCGCTAACAGCTGTCGTGTAAAATTTGAAATACTCAAGCACGAAAAATAATTCACAAAACACTGATGGGTTGAAGATTGAAATTATTATCGTACCGTCATCTGACTTGTTTTCCAGTCTTTAACAAACAGAGCTACTGTTAGCAGAGCTTACAGTAATCAATATTAAAAGTGATAATATTTTCATACTGATCATCATTTACAGGGTCGCATGGGGACTAAAGACAATCCCTGCTGATTTTGGGCGAGAGGCGGGATACACCCTGGACAGGTCGCCAAACTATCACAGGGCTGACACATAGAGACAGACGACCATTCATACTCACATTCACACCTATGGATAATTTAGAGTCACCAATTAACCTGCATGTCTTTGGACTGTGGGAGGAAGCTGTAGAAAACCCACAGTGACACAAGAGGGCCACAAATGGCTTGCAGGTTCAAAACCAGAACCAGAACCACTGGATCACCATGCAGCCCTTCCAAGTTTAATTTCAGATTAAAGTGTTAATCTTGTCGCTCAATCTTGAGTTACTTTAACACAACGCTAACAGTGCTAACAATAGCAACAGTGCTGACAGAGCTAAGGGCGGGGACACAGGCCGCGTCTTCTACCCCCTGTAAAATCCGAGTTTGGATGCAGGGCGCTACCGTTGTACCTATTCTCTGCCAACTTTCAAGGGCGTGGAGGCAAGTTGTGCCTGACGTTGCTAATTGGTCATGACCGGCACTGTATCATAGCCGACTTAACCAGAAATCCCAAATTTGGAGCTGGTTTTCGTCGTAATTCTTATCCATAGTTACCTTAGACTGATATTTACATTAGAATGGAAAGATATCTGTGTTTGTTTACTGCTAATTAATGCTCTGAATGTGGTATACAGAACCTTTAAAACACACCAGGCTTTGTATTCATTGCCTCTCAGTATGTCCTGGAGTAAATTTAATGTCTTGTTCGGCACTGCAGATAATTTCAAATTAGCAGCTTCACTCTAACAGGCTTCAATGATGTCCTTCTTCTTTTTTATGGAAAATTTTCCCATCAGGCTGGACTCTCCACTGAAGCTTAACCCCCTCATACTTTTCTTGGACCTGTGGAAGCACGAAAAATCACACGTTTATACAAATTAGCTAGTTGTTATGTGACTATGATAATCAGCTGTGTACACAGGTGTCAGCCGCACCCACATTTTAAAGAAGACAAAACTTACCTGGTTCAAAATGGCGTCCATCTCAGCAGAGTCACTCAAGTCTAAGAATGAATCTGATTTTATTTCCAACCTCACAATCATCCTTTTTCTTTCCTCTATGGCTGAAACAATGCATCAGGGACACTTACAGTATGTTAGATCAATTATGTTGAGAATGGCATTGAAAGAAAGAAAGATGCTTAATAGAATCAGACTAATAATAGATATACGCTCACCATTATAGCAGTAGAAGGGAAGTGATGTAACACACTCTCTGTCAAACCACTTCTTGGAAGAAGGTCTATACAACCCACAGACTCCATCATCATTTGGCTGAGAGCTCGCCCAGTCTCTGAGGGAACTGTCGCTCTGGTCCGACCAGTTCCACTCATCTCTGAACAAACCGATCCAGACCAAGGACAGCGACAGCACCTTTTCATTGATGATTTGCTGCAATGCCTGATTTTCAGTCTGGCTCCTCACACTGGCCAGGTCAGTGCCGTCCAGTTGACAGTGCTCTTGAGCTTGCCTCCATGACTTGTCTTCAAGAACAACATACATCTTACCAGACCCCTCACCTGTGGACAGAGCAACATAGACTGTAGAGATCCAAAGGTTTGGAGAGGATGGGAAAATGTGTTAATTACTTACCCTCCTGACAGACAAAAGGAAGTTTTGTTCCACAGAGTTCACTGAGCCATTTCCCATCACCCTTCATGCCTCCACAGTGATGAGAAGAATCAAGTGAATTGGCCCAGTTCATGTACTCAGCTACTCCGTAACTGCTCTGAGTTTCTCCCACAGACCACAGCCAGGACGTCATCTCGGCCTTTCTTAGACCGATCCAGATCTCTTTTGTCTCGCCGCTGGCTTCTGTCATGTCCACCAGCCTCTTCATGTCATCATGGCTGCCGATGGTAGCCAGGTCAGTGTGATTCTCTCTGCAGTAACTCTGGGCCTCGTCCCAACTCTTCTCCACAGTGATCAGGTGATACTCTCGATAAATGCGTGAGCATAAAGTTACGGAACCTGCAGAAGGACACCCACTTAAACATCAGATAAAGCAGGCATTATGATTATAACTGTGGATTTTAATTTCAGCATTTCACACAAAGACACCTACCTGAAGTTAGCAGCAGAATCACTAGATGGAGCATATTTTCTCTAGGGTATAAAAAGATTAATGTTATACAAGTTATACACATGAGTCTCAAATGTAGTGCTACATACAGAGCAGGTCCTCTCCATGGATGTTTAAAGAGACCTGAGGCCATATTAACATATTCACAGAATACTCTCAGAGAGCTCCTAACTTAGTCTAAAGGTTTTTAGTAAGGAGTCCTAGCTTAGGAGTGAGTTAGGAAATTTCTCAGAGCAAGGAAGGGACAGAAACGTTTACCTTAGTGAGCAGGTGTGGTTGATGATGTATTCTTTTAACGGGTGTGATTGGTTGTCACATACACACCCCCTTGTGAGCCTGCAAGGTGTGGACACCCAGTGGAAATGAACTGCTGACTGTTAAAGTGTTGTTATTGTTAGTGTGATCACTCTGCTGATGGAAGGCTGAGACACACTCAAGTCATCACTGCTGCACTTTTGCATTTTTCCAGTTTTCCAAATGTCTTAGTGTTATGATCATTTTGTTTCTGGTGTTATAGTGTTAGGTGGGCATCAACCACAAATATTATCTCTGTATGATCTAATCTGTAGCATTTCATTTACTCACTGTCATCCAACGTTTAGAGAATATTTCTCTGACCCCTTTGTGTTTCCACCATTTTCTCCTCTGCACAGGAAACTCTGAAACCTCTTAAAAGTCCTCATCTTAGGAGCTTTTAAGGTCTAAAATGTTTTGTGAATTACTTTTATCTTTACAAGGACCTAGTCTTAACTTTAAGGGGAAATTCCAAGAAAACATCACAATTCTAAACCTCACTAGAATGTTATCAAATGTTAATCAGATGTTATCAGACCAAATGGATCAAATCACAATAGTGAAATTAATGTTTCAGTGGAGTTGTTGCGCTCAAAAAAATGTATCCACTGATTTACGCTCATCTTTTACAATGTAGGTCAATGGGTAAAAGTGTTTTTGGGACTCATGACATCATGTGACAGACTTGGATGTTGTAATTCCACATTTGGTCACTATGTAAAATTGCTTTCAAAGCCCTGCAATGCTCCTGGAGGCTCTGCCCTCTACCATAAAGTCTACAGTGTTGTTCTGCAGTAGCCCAGAATAGACAAATCAAACATGCCTCCACAAGCTTGGCATATGAAAGAGGTATCAGTTCTGGAACCTCATCACTAGATGCCACTACATCCTCCATACTGGACCTTTAATTGGTAAATCAGTCATTTTAAAGGAAAAATGCCAGAAAGTGTCTGGCTACATCTTCTCCAGTGTAAAATACGCTGCTTCTTTCTGGTTTATATTGAATAAAGCGAATATCTTTGGGTTTTGGACTGCTGGTAGGACAAAACAAGACACTTGATGAGATCATTTTGTAGATTGAACAATTTGTTGAGTGAGAAAATGGCCAACAGATTTATCAGTAATGAAATAATAGTTAATTACAGCCCCTAAAGTCCTGAAAGGTGATTTTTTTTATCTTGTGTGTGCAAGATATTATCTTCCAGGAATAAGCTATTATCCTGTGTGCAAAAGATAGTAACTTGTGCTCATAACTTAAAAAATATCAACTTTTAGAGACTTTAAGGGCGCTGTAACCATGTTTTTTCTGACACATTCATGATCCATAGAAATAAAAAAGAAATCCACTTCTCCATACTACCAGATATGTTCTTTTTATATTAAAATATTCTGACTAAAATAAGCTCAGATTTTGTAAATAATTATAGATATATAAATGATTCTCCTTACCTGATGCAAAGATGTTTCCTCATAAGAGATAAGCACCTCTGCAGGTTGTCGCCCCTTCTTTGTCACTCTTCACACCTGGCATATTTCACTTGCCCTCAAAGAGCATTCATATTTGTCTTTATGGAAATGCTATTTGCATTTGACCAATCGCAAGGTCATATTTGCATTTCACCAAAACATCTGTAAAACGCAAGTGTGGTCATGTGGTTACAGCAGGCTCTAGATAAGAGCGTGATTTATTTTTTTTTTTTATTTTTTATTGTGAAAAACCACACAGTCATAGTTAACTTGTCAGTTGAAAAAGAGAAAAGCCGGCATTCATTGACCTTCATAACCTTCCCATCCTGGGCCAGACTCGGATCTGTTTGTATCCTGACATAACTTGTCTTGTTTTACTTCCTTATTCTTTCTCCTCTGTCTCTATTTATCCTGTGCCACCTGTCCTTGTGTCTCTTGTTTCAGCTGTGAGGTCAGCAGCAAACCCTTCGCTCATTATCCTGCCTGTCAGACTTCAGCTTATGCTCCCAAAAGCTGTTAATAATCCGCATACAGTCCCCTGTCCTCCTTTTCTAAATTTTGCCACACACACGCATCACCCCAGAGGACCCCTTATATAAAGCTCTGTCTCCCCTGTAGTTGTTACTCTTCTTTTTTTGTCATCATCAGTGAAACGTCCTTTTGCTGTTCAGGTATGTGCTTTGAACTTTTCTTTACACTCATCTAGAAGCAGTAAGTTTCTGTCCCCTTTAATATTTGCAATCATTTAAAGAGTTAAAGCCATTAAAGAAGTTTGGACTTTTCTTTTTTGTATGCATGTAGAACATGCACACCATCAGGTTCGATGACATATTGTTTATCAGTGGTGAAATGTCACTAAGTACACTTACTCAAGTACTATACTTAAGTACAATGTTGAGGTACTTGTATGTGCCTTAAAGTATGTCAATCTTTTGCTTCTTTATATTTCTACTCTACTACATTTACATTAGTTACTTTGCATATGCAGATTATTAATACAAATGTGATCAACAAATAAGTTATGATGTAATATATGGATGGAGATAAAACTTTATTGATTCCTTGGTGCAATTCTCATGCTACCCAGTAGTTGCCAATATATTAAAAGACTTGCCCCATCTTTACCAGCTTCGAAATTAGAGTGAGGTTTACATTCATTCATCAATAATTATGTAATACAGTCATATATATAATATTCTGAAATGGGCTACTCTACATGATGAGTACTTTTGTTCTGAGTATGTTTAGATGCTGACATTTTTATACTTTTACTTGAAGGAGCAGTGTGTAAGATTTAATGGCATCTAGCAGTGCAGATTGCAACTGGCTAAATCTTTGTGCCAAGCATGAATTCCCAGTTAGGATTCTTTAAGTGTTCATTGTTCAGGAGGTTTTTACAAGGAGCCGAATTATCCACAGAGATCTCTTCCTCTCCAAAACAAACAGACCAAACTGGTAAAAACTCCAGATAAAACCGTTTCACGTTACAAATCAGTGTTTCTTTGAAGCTGTTTGGCATGTCGCAGACAGGCCACTAGCCCAGCACCTACTGTGTGCTCATGTTTCTTCTCTGACAACTTAAGATCCAGAGCTCCAAGATGTTTTTACCAGGAGCCGAATCAACTGCAGAGGTCTCTTCCTCTCTAAAACGAATGGACCCAGTGATTTAAACCGGTGAAAACACTGAACAAAGCAGTTACACGTTAAAAAATCTGTTTTGCCAAAGCTGTTTGGCTTGTTGCGAAGGGGCTGCTAACTGAAGTGTCAACAAAACAATGCAAAAATGTCAAGGTCCCTTTCTAGAGCCAGTGTTTGGTTTGTCCGTTCTGGGCTACTGTAGAAACATGGCGGTGCAACATGGTGGACTCCATGGATGACATGATGGATGAGGACCCACTTCTTATGTAGATATAAACAGCTCATTCATAGGAAACGAAAACACAACAATTTATATTTTCAGGTGATTGTACACTAAACATACTTATTATATTAATTTCTGCCAACACATTCCCCTAAATCCTACCCACTGGTCCTTCAGGTAAGACCTTGAACGCAGCATTTTTATAGGACATTTTTATTAAACAAAGTATCTGGAGACAGCTGTCTTCAGATCTTTTACTGAAGTAAAAGATCTGAAGACTTTTTCCACCACTGTTGTTTATAGATTGGGACACTGGGACAATATTGATATTCTATAATCAATATTTTTATGAAACAATGGACCAAATGAATTTCCCACGGGAGTTGGTTAAGACCAAAGTCAGAGCTAAATGAAGAGTAAATATTAGACTAAGTCAACGGGTGAACAGAGACACGACTCTCAATGAATGTTTATGTTGCTCTGTGTCAGCCGGACATGTAAATAGCAGCTGTTTGCTAACAAGTTCACCAAATTAACTTAAAAGGTGCTAATATGTCAGTGCTTGCAGCTTGTTACCTTTGCCTTCAAGTGTTATTGCACTTCTTAAGGTCAAACGTGTGCCAAGTGTGTAGTGGCTGATGCAAAGGTGCGAACGGACCTATCAAGAGCCAGGGTTTGTCTGTTCTGGGCTACTGTAGAAACAACATGGGGGACTCCGTGGAAGAGGACTTGCTCTGTATGTAGATATAAACGGCTCATTCTGAGATAACAAAAACACAATTCTCATTTTCAGAAGATTATAAACCGATGAAAACATACTTGTGAATATTATAGTCCATTTCTGCCAATAGGTGTCCCTAAATCCTACATGCTGGACCTTTAACATTTAAATAATAGCAAATAATAAACAACTGATTCAATCAGTTTAAAGCATTTCAAAGTGACATTGATTGGTCAGTATCTGCTTCTTCCAGTTTTTCATTGAAGCTATATCATGTTAATGTTGTGAAATATATAAATCTAAAATGCCATGATTGCTTGTGCACTATTTAATACACATTTGGAGGCCTGCAGTATTTGGCATCCTGGCAAACTTCAGGATTTCCACTAAGTGACAATAAAATTAAGGCGGATGTTGATACAGGTGTTTGATATCTCTGAAATTAGGAGTGATCCCTCATGACAAGTTATTCTCGGTGCCCTTGTCCTCTCTGTGCGTCTGTGTCGGTCAGTTTGGTCAGAAACATTCGACGGTGAAGTGATGTGATGAATTCCTCTCTCAATCCCTCATCTGTCTTTTGTCCCTGTGCCAGTGTTTACTCAGATTCACATGCTCATGCTCTGACATCTTGGCTAAAAACTATGGAGGGATCTGAGCGACGTGGGCGGCCTCAGCGCTTGATCTATCATGCTAATGCACTCAAAGACAGGCAGGCATCCAGTTGTAAGCACTGAAAATAATGTTTAGAGAATTAGTGTACTTCTGGTGTGTCTACCCAGAGACTCATTTTTCTTTTTGTTCGCTTTAACTACAGCTCATCAGACTTTGTAAATTCATAATACTGTATCTCGTTTAACAATTCCCTCTGAAATATGAATATAAGCTGCTGAAGTGATGGTCAGGAATGCAAAAGTATGAGGCTCCACGCACACTTAAATACCCTTCAGTTCAGTGAGACTCTGAGTAGATCAAATGATAATAGAGAACTTGGCTGGTGTTAATAGCAGCCAGCCGACCAGTTTAATCTCTCCATCCCACATTCCCTCTTGTAAATCGAATTAAAAAAGGATTGGCCAGCTGATACCTCACTCTTATCCGGGGTAACAGGACACTGCTCCGGCCTGAGTCCCTCTGGCTTCTTCTATTCCTAGATCATTAGCTACAAATGGCTTTATCAGATTCTTTGAACAATAGCAACGGCCTGTGGTAAATGTGTAATGCTGCCCCAGTGGTCGTCTCAAAAGTCATGAAATTTGTTCACTATTTTACTTTTTGACATCAGACGTCAGGAGCTTTTATGACTGATTAAGCTCAGCTATGTGGAGTGGTGTCATGCAAACATAGTAATGGATTAAAAGGTCCAGTACTGACATTAAATTATCTCCATGCCAGGAAGTCAACCGCTGATTTATGTTTAGACCATAGCTCCTTTCATATAGCCTGGTCAAGGTGGGAATGTTGCGCCATTATTCCCCCTCGTTATTCTGTAAAGAAGGTTTGAACATGTAATAGGGGACAAAGTTGTTCCGCCATTAAGCCGACAGTGGTGATAGTAACAGAGCCAAATTAACGCCAGCCAGCATAGTGGAACTGATTTTCAAGACTTGCTCCCGAACAGGAAACGCAACGTGCAATGCCACACCCACCCCACCACGCACACATATGAGCAACTAGTTACACGACCCTACCCATCGACACAAGATCCATAGGCTGACCTGAAACTGCAAAACCTATGATAACCATTAGCTCTTCAAATAATTCAGTTAGGCAGCATGTTTCAAGTGATGATCTTGAGCAATTCGTAAATGTGAAACGAACATATTTTAAAATGAAGGTTGTTCAGGACATACAATTTAAACTAATATTTTTGTTTTGCTTATTCTTGTAATATTGAGCAGCACATCTCCACAGATGACGCCTCGTATCCTCTTACGTATGTGTACGGAGACGAGCCAAGTCCGTCCATTCCTATGGGAATCTCTGTGCTATCTGATGCGCCTTTGAAACTCCCCCCCTTTGTAATATTTTGGTCTGGAATTTGTTGCGAGCAAAAAATTTTTGCGGTGAATTTCGGAGAGACTGTATGACAACGTGCTCACTTAGCTAACAGGCTGCTAACTGGCTAACAGCCTATTTCCTTAAATTAATTTGCCTGTGTTGGTTGTCAAGTGAGTTTGTCTGATTAAAAAGAACTTGTTTATCTAGTTGTATTCTGCTAGTCATATACATTTCCAAACGCATATTCCAAACTACTGGGTGGCGAGAAATGGATAAAATTAGCCCCTCCCCCACCCCTGAATCACCTGCTGGGTACCCACAAGTACCCAACCCGATGCAGCACTCTGTGCCAGCGTGGCAAAGCTGTAATGGTGCAGCATTACAGCAGTATTGTGGAATCTGTGTGAAAGGGGCATCATTTAACATTTGCTCAACAGAGACCCCTGTGGCCACAAGTGGCAACTACAAAACAATAGCACAATTAATTTCTGCTCATTTCCCAACACTTTCAAGTCAATAGCTTTGAAGGTGTCATCATTAGGTGACCTGACTGAGCTAAAATGTGTAACAGTGGCACAAAGAGAAAAGAGACATAAAGTCCAGCAAACAGATCAAGAAAGAAAAAGTTAAACAGCAATATCTATGCAGTAACGTTCGCTAACATTAGCCACCATAAGCAACCAGTCATACCAGACCAAATAAGGCTGTAGCGGCAACACTCCTCTGTATACTGGATGGAATGAGGCTGTGTTTTATTTTATACTTATATATGTATAACAGTATTTATTCTTATATTCATGGTTCTCTCTGCAGTGTCACCATGTCTGATTTAGAAGATCATGGGTGAGTCAATCCGCTCCTACCACTTCACTTATTTCTCATTTATAAACTTTTCTACCTTCACATTCAATGCACATAAGCTTCTGATATATCCTTTCAATTCTTTTTATTCAGAGGCCATCAGGATGGTAAGGACATTCACTCATTTATTCATTAAAGCAGTATTGCTTCTCTGAGCTCAATCACTGTGTCCTTTTTTTTCTTTCTCCAGAAGAAGATGAGGAGCAGGGAGAGGGAGGTGAGGCTGTGATGATGAACTGTGGTGATTTAAATGACCTTTCCTTAGAAGTAACACATTCACATACAGCAACCTGTCTGTGAAAGCGTCTGCACAGGAGAACCCTTGAAATGTAAATACTGATATACATCCTGTAATCCCTCCAGGATGTATCGTCAGGAGCATGGTAAACCACAACTTGAATTTACATTAAAACAGGAGCAGGAAACATTAAACCCTACCACGCAGTTACAGTATAAAAACTGCCTTTTTGCCTATAGAGTTAAACTTGTATTCAGTTATCTGTTGTGTTTTCAAATCGAACTCGTGTTATAAAAAATGATCTGATTCACTTTTATTTGTGGTCCTGGCTGCCATGTTAAAGAAGAACGCCCCAAATACAAGTAAGACAACATGGAAACACTTCATATAAAAAAACAGTGTCAGATATTACCACTGAATGCATCGCAAAGATGTAAAAATATCATTCCTTTATGTTCATATGCCCTCATGTTATTTTACAGGCCGGTCACACAGCTCGCTGCCCCTAAAATCCCTGAGGGGGAGAGGGTTGACTTTGATGTATGTCCCTTCAAGATTGTTGTTAATGGAACATTTATACACCATTACACCACCAAAACTAGCCATTAAATAATCTCAATGTGTGTATCCACTGGTGCCTGTTAGGACATCCACAGGAAAAGGATGGAGAAAGATCTTCTGGAGCTGCAGACTCTGATTGACGTCCATTTTGAGCAGAGGAAGAAAGAGGAGGAGGAGCTGATTGGACTCAAAGACAGGATTGTAATGTCTTTTCCCGTGTTGTTTTCCCAAATGTTTGTCCATGTGTTTGAGAGAGAGATTTGTAGTTCAGAATAACTGTGCTTACAGGTCCATGTGTTTAAGTCCAGTCAGTATGGTTTTTGTGTTACAGGAGAGCCGCCGGGCAGAAAGAGCTGAGCAGCAGCGTGTGAGGGCTGAAAAAGAACGGGACAGACAGACACGCATTGCGGTAACTAACATTGTATTACAATGTGTTGTTTAAGAATATAAGAAAATACATATTTTCCCTGTTATTGTCGAGCTATTTATCAGTCTAGATTGTTTTGGTGATGCCTGCCTTCTCTAAAAGCGCCAAAAAAACTGTCCCTTTAATCCATGCATGTCAATAATCCACTTAGATCAAAATATTTTGACCACACACACCATAAAAGAGCAACTTAAACTTCAGTAATCAGCTGTAGGTGACTCCCCCAGGAGGAGAGACAGAGAAAAGAAGATGAAGAGGCGAAGAAGAGGGCTGATGATGAGGCCAAGAAGAAGAAAGTGCTCTCCAACATGGGGGCTCACTTTGGAGGCTTCCTGGCTAAGGTCAGACTAATACATTTGTAGGCAGGTGTGTCACTGTACACTGCAAGACAGTTAGAGTTTATGAGCGTCTGATCCTCCTACAAAGTGTTTATTTCCTGCAGGCAGAGCAGAGGCGAGGCAAAAAGCAAACTGCGAGGGAAATCAAGAAGAAGACTCTGGCAGAGAGACGCAAGCCATTGGCCATTGAGACCCTGAGAGAGGACGGCCTGAGGTCAGTGTAAGGTCCATTAAAGACTGATGCTTTTTGACTGGTGTCTAAATGTTCATTACATTTGAAACCTTACTTAAACTCAAACCATGATGTTTTGCTCTTAACCTAACCCTGTGCTTTTGTTTCCCACGCCCGAGGAAGTAAACCTCAAGACAAAGTTTTTTTTACCTACGTTCTAAAGCCCAGTTCAGACCAAAGATTTGCGATGAGTTGAGTTGAAACAGGTGACTACTTGCAATGCGCCGCTCTCCATTCTAAAAACCTGCCAGTTCACACCAATGCAACTCGATGAGATGGTGTATCATCTCTATGCAACAACTCTCTGTACCACCGTTCTGATTTCCAGCTTTTCAGGCGTATTTTGTGGCTGAATATAATTTGTAACCTCTTCAAATATGAATGAGGATAGTGATAGTGAGACACGGGCTACAGTTGCATTTGTAGAAGTGATGAAACGGCATGTGTCTTAGACCATAGGAATAACATGTATACATTTTTAAAAAGGGTGTAGTTCCCCTTTCAGACTTTAGGTGGTGCATTTTTCTGTCACCTCAAGTTGTCAATGCTGCTGTGTTTTTAGAGAGAGAGCCAAGGAGATGTGGGAATGTATCTACGAGCTGGAGTCAGAGAAATTTGACCTGACTGAGAAAATGAGGAGACAGAAGTATGAGGTGAGCCATTTACCTGAAAATATACAAAACTAGTATTATAAAGACGGCTAACTTGTGACATCACAATTTGTTTCTTCCTCCAGATCAACGTTCTCCTGAACAGAATCACACATGCTCAGAAATTGTAAGTCACTCTGCTCATAACAGTTTGTCACAACACAACCTAGAACTTTTTAGAGAGCTACTTTGCATCGCCTATGCAAATAAACCACGGATGAACGGCCGCAGTCACATTAACAGGAAATGCCAAACTCACAGCTCTTTAACACTGGCCTCTCTATGTGCAGGATACATACATCTAAGATATAAAGTGATATATTCAGCCACACTTATTTATCATTTCTGTGTGGACTAGGACAATTCATGATCTACTGTGTATTTTTTTCTTGTCTCAATGCAGCAAAAAGGTCCATGGTAAGGGGAAGGTCGGAGGACGCTGGAAGTGAACTCATACAGGAGGCACAATGAAACAAGAAGATGGTTCACAAGTTTTAGGAGTTCTGCAGAGAGTTCTGCGTGGCATTTACTGAAATACATCCACTCGCAATTGCATCTGTAATTATTAAAATGCACGGATACATAAATTTAACATTCTTTCTCAGTGTCATTAAATTGGAGATGAAATCGTTTAGATGGTTTAGATGGTAAACGTCCAATATGAGAGAAAAATAAATTCAGATGTTGAAAATGAGCAGTATCACCTTGACTGTCATTCTGTTGCACACTGTGAAGGTGAAGCTGCTGAGAATGGGTGCAGAAATTAACCACCTTTACTTCCTCTGTGGTATGAAAACAGCATGGACGTCATCACTCTGCCCCTCACGCCACGGTTCAAATCCAGCCTCCAGAGCCATGCTCGCCACTTTCTTTGCAAAGCCTGCTTCTTGCTCTTTATTCAGATCCAAAATGTACCTGCAACACACATACAAATACAGCTTACATGCTACAACAGCATTAGAGTTATCATTAACTTTTTATCAGCGAGATATGCAGCAAACATGACAAAAATTCAGATACACAAAAGCAAACACTGCCTGTGAATAACATAGCATAGTCACTGTACTCTGGGTGACTGTATTGTCACCATGGTAACAAGCCCCTGTTACTATAAAAACCCTCACTTGGCCAACTCCACGACAAGCACAGCGTCTGGTGCTGCAATCTGTCTCATCATCGGGCCCAACTGGTGCGCGCAGCTTTAGACAGGGAGGGAAACAAAAACACAGAAATGAAACATGGTCAGCAGTTACAGCCATAGTCTGTGACTGGATCCTATTTTAGGCTACTATATCTATATTTAAGAGAATATGGATTATGTATTCAGTAGTGTGACCTATTAGAGAATTACAGAGCTCTAACCTGGCAGAGAAATAGATGGTGTTGAAGAAGTGGGAATATTTCTGTTTTTCTGGCAGTTTGTTAAGCGAGTCCATAGGCAGGAAGGTCACAGAGACTCCACTCAGACGCATCAAGTCTGAGGAGAATTTGAGAAAATTCAGCGCTAAAACCATCAAGTTTCACACACAGTTACTGTTTTCTGTGTGCTAAGCATCCAAACAAGCTTCAGAGGGATGAGACGTGATCTATCGCACACTGAAACGCTTAAAGACCCAGCTCCTGTTTACACTTCTTTAATGTATTCAAACACACTGAAACAAGAAATTATGCAATATAATTAAAGTCAATCTTTCCCCTCAGTCTGAACATTTTCATGCTGAGTCAAATGGCTTTTAATCTCACCTACGCGACACCGACAATCATTAAAAGCCATTTACCGTTAATGGTGACAGATTTTGGGTCAGCCTCTGGGGACGGGGACGGCTCCCCTGTCTCTGCGACTGACTGAGAAGTGGTGGGGCAGCCCCGTCTACTGGACAGCGACTGGAACAGTTCCTGGACAGTTGCAATGGAGATATCCTGGGCCGTCTGTGAGGAAAGGAAGGGACAGACATTTATATCAGTTTCTCCAGGAGGTTGTGGTCTTTTTTTTGTGATTGTTGCAGCCAAAATGCCTGGTTTGCATGTCCTCCTCGTGTCAGTGTGGGTTTTCTGTGGGTACTCCGGCTTCCTCCCACTGTCCAAAAACACACAGGTTAGATTAATTGGCGACTCTAAATTGCCCGTAGGTGTGAATGTGAGCGTGAATGGTTGTCTGTCTCTAAGCCCTGTGATAGTCTGGTGACCTGTCCAGGGTGTACCACGCCCCTCATCCAGTGTCAGCTGGGATAGGCTCCAGCACCCCCCCCCACCCCAAATATCTACCTTTATGTGTTGTCCATTCTGTGTCTTCAGCAGGCTCTTGTCATCAGTTTCGATGCCAAAGGAGAGGTAAGGGCTGGAAACAATGTCTCCCCAGTAGCCTCTGACTGCCACTTTGTCCCCTCTCTGTCCGGACACACAAAAAGTTCCTTCATGTCATGTTATTGCTGCATTGTGTAGAAACATTGTGCAGAAAAACAGACAAACACTCACCTGACTGAACACTCTTGAAGACAGCAAGCTTTGATTGGTTATTTGGTAGGCACCTTCCCTCATTTCAAACGCCAAACCCCGTTCTCTCCATCGTGCATATTGCTGTTTGTTGATGACGCCACACTGCAGATACAGAGAGCATCCATCCTTCAGTGGAACATATAAGCATCCAAATTTCTGTCCTTCTAAAACATAATTTCTTAGGGCAAATTTAGTGGACAAATATGAGAAAGCACTCAAATAATTCAAATAACTCATTTGGCTATTTATAAAACAAAACACACAATATAATTACTCATTCTTATTTCATTTATAACGCTACAACCATTTCATTGTATATTGTATATATTTCAGATTGTCTACTTTACTATTTTATTATTTATTTTATTTTATTTTATTGTCTACTTTAATATTTTATTTTATTTTATTTTATTTTAATGTCTACTTTAATATTTTATTTTATTTATTTCATTGTCTATTTTAGTATTTTATTTATATCTTCATCTTTATCTCGTTTCCATTCATGGTGTATTTCTATTTCTACTTTGCACAGAGCATTGGAACAAAAACAATTCCCCCCTGGGGATTAATAAAGTATTCTGAATCTGAATCTGAATCTGAATCAAATACCTCTTTCTCGTGAAGTTTCATTATAAGGTCCCAGTCGAAGCGCTCCTTCTTACAGTCATAGCATGTACCAAGGTGCTGCCTGACTCGATAATCCCAGACTTTGGACATTAAGATAGGTGCAGCACAAGTAGATGAAGACAATGAAGGCCGTGGCTGGATCCACAGCTTGAATATCCTGGCCAGCTCATCTCGCTCCTTGAACTGCAGAAATATTCAGAGAGTATGAAAGATCAATCATAACGTCTCACAGAAACACACAGTGTGGGCTTGTTTTACAAATCACCTTGAGAAGAGTCGTGTTCAGACAGGGGTGCGTGGCTGTCTCCACTGTTTCGGTAACAGCCAGAGAGAGCTGCGATGCTGCATGTCTCAGCGTCTCCTCTGTCTGACTGCGGATCTCACCGTTCCCAAACACCTCCAGGAACACCTCTGTCTTCTCTGGAAACACATATTACAGCTTTTAGGACACATTTATCTTTTTTCTTACTGAACATTTATAAAGCTGACAGTTTAACAAAATCCCCCCCACCATTCGTTCCCATGCTTTCCTTTGGCATCAGCGCCAGGTAGAGGAGCAACAGCTGTCTCGCCACCAACTCCATGCTGTTTTCTATCACCCACACCTGCAGGAGAGCAGAGAGAAGACGTCCACAGCTCACAGTAGTGTGTATCAATTTGTTTTCAGGGGGGTCAAATGACAGTTTAAGAGACTAAGAGGCTCACATGAAGACTTTCTTCATCCCGCAAACTAGAAATGGTCTTCAAAATATGTCGTGGATCTCCACTGCCAACCAATAAAATGTTGACATTCCTTTCATGTCTCACAGGGCCTGGGCAGAGAGAGAGAAAGCTTACAGTAGTTCCAATGCACCGCACATACACCACTTACTTTGTAGTCTTTACCTATACAGACTGAAAAAAATAATCATTTCATACATCCCCTACATATCTCCTGTGTTATTTCAATGTTACGGACAAATGGATTTTAAATGTATTTTATATTTTAAGTGTCAAATTTAAAGTACTCATTATCTTTTACTTAAGTAAAGGTAACAGTACCATAGTGTAAAAATACTCCATTACAAGTAAAAGTCTTGCATTCAAATCTTTAAGTAAAAGTACAAAAGTATTAACATCAAAGTATACATTTTTTTAGCATTGTTTGTTGGCTCATTGACTTTTTAACAAACTCGGGTCAGAGGGTCAGAGTTAACAGGACACTGTCCAGTACCTGAGTAATCACGCATCAAGATTTGTCCTGAAGTACGCAGAGGACACTGTTACTATAAGCCTTCTTCATGGATCAGAATATGATCAAGGCCCAGTACTGGACACATTTGTTAATTGGTGTGACCAGTCTTTCCTCCACATTAATGTGTCTAAGACCAGTGAGATGTTTATTGATTTTTGGAGGAGGCCCTGCCTTCCTGTGCCTTGTGTGATTAAGGGGGAGTCAGTGGCAGCAGTGCAGCAGTACAAGTATGTGGGCACTATCTTAGATGATAAGTTGAGCTTTGATGTGAACACTGACGGCATCTGTAAGAAGGCAAACCAACGCCTAGTCTTTTTAAGGAAGCTGAAGAGTTTTAAGTCTCTTCTTTCTTTTAGCATTGTCTGTTGGTTTGGTAATCTGACCTTTAAAAACAAGAACATGTTGGGAAAAGTTATGCTGTAAGATCACTGGTGTTACTTTAAATAACCTGCAGCATCTGTATGAAGAGAGGGTCACCTCTAAAGCTCGGTCTATTGTCTCAGACTCTCAACATCCCCTCCATGTTGAGTTTCAGATGCTTTCATCAGGGGGGAGGTTTTGTCTCCCTAAATATAGCACTTAGCGGTACAGATCATCCTTCGTCCTGTCTACTATCACTTATCTTAACCAGGAGTGACCACTAATGTCCATGATTTACCCCTGACAGTGTGTGAGACTGGATTCTGTGTGTAATGTATTGTACTGGGGCGGCATGGTGATGTGGTGGTTAGCACTCTCGCCTCACAGCAAGAGGGTTGCCGGTTCGATCCCGGGCGTGGGAGCCCTTCTGTGTGGAGTTTGCATGTTCTCCCTGTGTCAGCGTGGGTTCTCTCTGGGCACTCCGGCTTCCTCCCACAGTCCAAAGACATGCAGATTGGGGACTAGGTTAACTCTAAATTGTCCGTAGGTGTAAATGTGAGTGTGAATGGTTGTCTGTCTCTATGTGTCAGCCCTGCGATAGTCTGGTGACCTGTCCAGGGTGTACCCTGCCTCTCGCCCGATGTCAGCTGGGATAGGCTCCAGCCCCCCCGCGACCCTCAAGAGGATGAAGCGGTTAGAAGATGAATGAATGAATGTATTATACTGTCATTTCTGTTGTACTCGTGACTACTGTCTGTATCTCAAATTGCCCCTCAGGGACATCAAAGTTTTACTTTACCTTACCTCACCATTACCTTAAAGTACTGAAAATAGTAGTGGTCCTTATGCAGAATTTGGCCCATTACAGAGTAATATCTATTATAAAATTGGATTATAATTATCGATACATTAATGTGTTCATCACTTGAATGTTGCAGCTGGTAAAAGTGGAGCTCATTTTAATCTATATAAATACTCTGTAATTTATTAGTTGATTGCATTTTGTAATAATAATCACAATCTGTGAAGTAACTAGTAACTATAGCCATGAAAATAAATGTAGTGGCGTAAAAGTATATTT